CTTCCAACCAAGCTTACAAGATGGGCTATGCATTACTTGGTTGTTCGCAGTGATACCATTGAAGCGACGTTGTTCGCGGTTACCTGTTGGTTATTGTGGAAGAGCAGGAACACCAAAGTATTTGAACAGAAGCTTGCATCTAGTGCCCAATTGCAAGCTGATGCGAGAAGGCTGAGTAGCCAAATTGTGACGGCCTTTGCTCCAGCTGCTAGTACGCTGGGAGTGAAGGGTATAGGGGAGAAGTAGATGGTTGCTTGGGAGTGCCCACCGCCAGGGTGGGCATGTATTAACACTGATGGTTCAGTGATCTTAGCATAGAAGACTCCTGTAGAATGACTGTCATATCAAGGTGAAGCACGTCTTCAGGGAAGGCAATGCTGTAGCGGATTTATTAGCTTCCATGGGGCACTTATTTCGCAAGGGATCCATATTTTCTTAGCTTCTATCCCCTTGTTTCAGCATTGGTTATTGTACGATCAGCTAGGGTGCAGTCACCCCGCTTCGTTAATGAGTAATTTTGGGCGCAGTTTTGCGCCCGTTTCTCACAAAAAAAAATCAACATGCAAACACAAAATCATTTTGTAACCAGCAAAACATATTATTAGGATATGGAGGTGACGAGATGAATGACCCTCTTCGTTGCCTATAAATTTTGGGGGAAAGAACACCATATATGAAATGGGAGACAAAGCAATGACAGAGGAGACAAAATAATTGAAAGAGAAGAGTGAAGTGTGTTTAAGAAAAAGAGTCAAGGTCTTAATTGACATTTTTGGGTTACATAAAGAGTAATTTTCATGGAGATGAGGCATTGGAAATGATTACGTAGAGTTATTTGGAACTTACGTATTAAACAAAATAACTCATACATTTTTTGTTAGCAAACTAATCATTTGTTATCGAATGAGTAATGACTCAAACAAACGACTCCTTCATTAATCATTACTAACCATTAGAATTAATGATCACAATTATAATTTACTAAAATATGCAATGTCAAGTACTATATACAATTAACCATAAGAAGAAGGACAAAATATAAAGTAAACTACTATATATATGACTGGCGATCTGTGTGTTTAAGTATGAATCAACCAATCTGACAATACACACAAATTGATGGCATTAGCCATTACATAAATAAGTTGAAGTGAAGTTGAATAGGCAACCTACAAATTTGTTAATGCTCGCTCTCACAGGTCAGAGTTGCGTGTGAAAGGAATGATGGCCCAAAAAGGGAAGAGATAATAAGCCAACTCCAAGTGGGGTGAATTGGGTCACAAATCTAAATACCCCTCAGCCCTTAATAGTGGAGCTAATTATGTTTTGCCCCTCACTCATGGTCATTTAAGATTAATTAAGTATAATGTGTCCTTTGGCCCTTGCTACTTGCTAGTAACTAGTGTGTCCTTTGCTAACTTCAAAAGGGTGGCCCGAGGTTATAAGAAGAAAAGGGTTTTGTTTGGTTTTTGTGTATGTTAAAATTCGTGAATTATGGATCAAATGGGAGCATTATAAGTCACTTTTGTGTTTTTTTTTTGACTAATTTAAAAGGTAAGTTTTATTTTAACGGAAATGTCACATTTTCACTTCTTTTTAATAACTGTTATAGCAATGGAGGTGTCTCTACACACCACATTTGATTGATAATGTCATTCTTGGAATAGAATTATGGAATATGAAATTATGCTCTTTGGTCTATTCTAATCATCTTAATAACCTGCTTATCATAGATTGAGTTTTGACCATAGTGCAGTAATCTTTGTTATAGTTTTTTAGTCTCGCTCTTTGTTTCGTGAGAAATGTTCAAACACGTATATAAACTTATCATCAACAATGGTGAGATGATATTGAAATCCATTGTACGGAAAAATAGACAAAGGTCCCCAAATATCCACATGAATGATCTTAAAAATGCTCTTTATTTGCCACAAAGTCACAAACTGGATTGAGGATGGAGTTGAATGTGTTGGTTGAATTCATGTATGGTTAGTAGTATACGGATTCCTAATATAACTGTGATAAGTTAACATTCCGTGTATCACCTCTAAAGCTTTCTCATTTGTGGCCATGATACTCAAAACTCTATAAAATCACATGACGACTTCCCCCACCATGTATCGTATCTCACCTTCGTGGAATCGTGTTAGTCCAACATTTTTGTTAAGCACCACATAGCCTTCCATGCTTAATGTTTCAAGCCACACCAATCTACACATACTAGTCCCCGCGCATGTGTTAGCCCATATAAACACCACAGTTGACTAGGGATATTTCAGAAATTAATCCAAAATCTTATGTTTGTGATTCAATCCATATACAACACATTCAATATAACAAAGTCAACGTTCAACCTTTATTGATTGAGTTTATTACATAGATAGCCAACATAGGTGTTCCAAAATACATTTGTCATGAACGATGACTTTAAGGTTCACCTCTTCACGTGCTTCTAAATTATACATCTTCGTGCCAACCCGGGCTGGAATCCTCCAAGCAAGCCTGAATCGACCACTCCATCTTCTTTCATTAAATGTAAACATCAAGGTGGAGCTATGTTGAAGTCAGCAGAGACTATAATTAATTCCTCACTAAATTTTGAAATATAGGTAAAATTACATGTAAAATTTGTACAAATTGAAGAATTAGAATAATTAATAAGGGTTTAGCCCTTCCTACAATTACCACAATTCAGATTTCAAATTTCAGATTCCGCCACTAATAAACATCGAATACTTCCAACTAACATTTTAGGTTTTGAGCTTTTAGAATAGATATTTTTAGTAGCAAACTGATTTTTGAATTGGTTGTTTTGCAGGGGAATCACAATTCATTTCAATGGAGTTTTGAAGATGAATCAACTTCACTCACTCGCTAAGCTATCCTGGAGATGATTTTTTAATGTCTTTTGTGTCTCTATCGAGTCATTTGCTCTTCGGAACTTTTTCAGAACTACTCTTGTAGTGGCGAAAAACGTTTTTGTATCGATAGTTCGGTTGCTTATGGACTGCCATCTTGACATATCATGAAAAAAATAAAAAACAAATATCACGAAGGAAATCGCCTAATTTCGCTGCTGCAGCCTGCATGTAACTAGACTCTCTTGTCGTAACACTTTGAACATGGGCCTTTGCTCTGATGAATCAACCGCCTCCTATCCTATCCTCCCTTTTTTTCACCCACCAAAGCAAAGCAAAGGAATATATACATATATTTAAATGGACATTGAACTGGTATTTTTCATCTCTGAAAATACAACTGGTCTTTTTCATGGTTGAACAAGTGAAAGGCGATTCATGATCAGACGTTTCCTTATACCCCTTTTCCTTTCCATATTGACTATACTTTAATTTCCAACTGATAGCTGCTGTGTTATATATAATTATGCATGAGCCCACAGCGATAATAATAGCGAGGTCCAGATAGGACAACGGTACATATGCCTACGTGCCATTCTCTCATTGGATGACATGTAATTTACCAAGAACTAACCTCGAAGTGGAGCTGTCTGTCTGGTGGCCACTCAGCCACAGACTTATACCAAATCATCAAGCGCTCCATTCCATCACGGACAACAGTATAAGAAAAAATTTAATAAATAAATAATGGAGTCAAGCTGCCGCCAGGTCATGATCCCAGATATTATTCCCGATTTGCAGTTACAAAAGTGGTTTTTTCGTAATAAAAAACCGGTCAATTTATCAAATGAATGCAAGAGCAAATGAGCCCCGATCGTCCACTTGACTTTTGGAGAACGGATCAGCCAACGCCCAGATCTGCTGCACAGCAACGGATGTCCCGGATTCGTTGATCGCTTTAGTTAGTGGAGTATGGGACCGAATGACTGAACGGTTGTACCATGTGTCTGATTTTGCTCCTCACGCGCCAGAGAAAGAGGGAGATCCAAATGTCCATCGTTTCCAAAGTTTTGAAACTGAAAAATTCTTTTAGAATTTATAATTTGAATCCCTAATTTCCGAAATTTGAACCAATTCCAAAATTCAAAATTTGAAACCAAAATTCGAATCTTGAGCGACTGACGATAAGTTTTAGATTTCCCCGATTCACTACATCCTTTCGCCCTCTCTGTCTCTCTACCCCATGTTTATCTCCATCTCATGTAGATCTTTAATCCTCCTCCGCTCCGCCGTCCGTCTCTGCGCTGACGCCTAGTTCTCTCTACCTCCACCGCTTGTCTCCCTACATCCCATGGAGATCCTCCTCCGCTCCGCCCTCTCTCCAGTCATTGTTGGCCCGACGAGACTATTGGATGCGGCCTGTATCCTATGCCCTCCACCATATGTATCCATTGATCTCGAATCTTCAGGTAATTCATCCCTAGAACCTGATCTAGCAAGGCAGATGTTGTATTCCCTGATTTATGTGCTTGATTTCTTAAAATATTCTTCCCTTTCGTCGTCTCAATTTAATATGTTTGGAATGATCTTCTCTGAAAACGAAAACCTCTTATGCTATCCTAAATATACATTTAATATTCGGAATATATTTAAATGTCCGCCTTTATATTGTCATATTTAGGTATCCTGTTTGCCATTGTGTTGAATGTCAATATGATGCAAGAACATGATATTCCCATAGTTTTGTCTCACCAATCCATTTGATGCAGTATTTGCAAAACAATTTTTTAGAGTTTCTGCTAATTGAATCGTTATTCTTTTAATCGTCTCTTATTTGTGTTCCTTTTTGTTTATGAACATTTTAAAAGAATTATCTTACCTTTATTCAGGGGGGACATCTGTATTGTTTTGCAGGTTTGAATTTAGAAGAATAATAATTGTTTGAGTTATGTTCTACGAAGAAGATATGTATGGACGATTACCATTAGTTATCCCGATTATGTATGTATCATACTCATTCTTTTAAAGTACCGAATGTTCTAATCCACTGTTTAATATTCAGGAATCCTGGTCGGTGGATTTATCTTGTCTGTTGTAATTAAGTTAATGTAATTACTGATAATGTTGAATTTTCTATCGATTTTAGAGACTTTGTATATATTAGTTATTATTTGAATCATTCGATTGAAGCATAGTAGATTGAAGGATGTTCAGCCAGTCCTTCCCTCAACTTTCGAGTTACAAAACCTGACCAGTTATACCTTCGTATGTTGATAGGGTCTCCTACCAAACATTCTCCAAATTTGCTTACATCCACCATGTCATTGCTTGTTGGAGCAAGCAACGTCCCTATCGCATACATGCAGAATAACTTCACGAACCTCCTAGGGTCATTACAAGATAGCAAACATCCTTTTATATCGGACAAATAAACAGAACCACCACTACTACCACTCAAATCTAACTCACTCAGCATCAATCTCAGTCTATCTTTGTCGCATTCCTGACCTGTGACCTCTATCTCATCTTTCGGCAACTGATAAACCCTATGCACGTCTTCCCCGCAAAATCCCAAAAACTTACCTTCCCCCAAGTCGAAAAGTCCGTTGGATAGATCGTACAGCATGATGAGATCCGAAACAATGTCGTGGTCGACAACAGTAATTAATACCTCAAGGATGCCGCTCAGGCCGGCCTTATCCAGTTGGCTATTGATACCTGCTAGATTAGCTCCGCCTTTCCTGTAGAGCTGCGCTCGTATTTTATGTATACCATTGGTTCTGCAGCGAAACTGGAACTTATCCGTCTCTTTGCTTCTATTCTCCCTGTCGACTTTCTTGCCCGATTCAATCTTTTCTCGCTTCCCTGATCTTGCAATTTTGTCTGCGTTGGTGGCCTGTATTTTCCTTCGCTTCCTCATATCTGGAAATCTCGACCGGGTACTACTATTCGCTTCATCGTTCTTCCTTTTCTTTGACACTGTTTTGTTGACCTTGTGATTCCGCGTTTTCAACTTCGGCATAACTGGATAATATTTTGTATTTTAGAGATCTTGGCTATTTTGCTTTGCTCAGCTGTCGATTTAGAATAGGCGGAGCCCAGAGAAATTGTCGTGATTGTTTGAATATGGTTTGTCGGAGTCGGAAGATATGAATTATTTGATCTAGTTAGGGATTTTGACTTTTTGTTTATCAGGAGTAAACGTGAGAGTACAGTAGAGTAAATGGGCCTGTGTTTGATCACAAAGTCCAATTGCAAAGGATGGTCCACTTATTTTATCTATTAATTTGGTAATCTACTGTCTGGCAGGATACTGGACTGGACTGGACTAGTACCATGGGCCAACCAATTAATCGGATCTGGACTATACAGTAATAGTATTTATAAAATTTATTTCAGGTATATATAAAATGCAAAATCCAATTTGTATAATTTGTTTATTTCACATGGTTCTTAATCTCATACTAAAACAATATTATTATTTTTTTGGACGCGTGTCATATTGTTAGTCTTTTTTTCTTTTTCTTGTTAACTATCCAGTGATTATGAATGTTTAATGTTCTTAATGAAAATCATATTCGTTATACATGAATATCATATTCTTGCCATAAATATCATATTTTATCATTTCGAATACATATTTACCGATTAGTACATATGCCTTAATGGAAATTAATACAGTGCTTGATAGCAATGTTTAGATGGGAGTGGTATGTATCTACAAAAACATATCCAAATGAAACAAACAATCACTTAAGATAACATATAGCATACAACATACATAGCAACTAATGCTAAAACATCACTGATAATTGAACATGGAACATTTAATTTCTAAAATACTAATAGATAAAGACAGTGCTTTTTTTAGAGCAAGGGTTCTGGTAATCGATAATTAGAACAACTAGGCGCCGCTTCTTCCACACCATTCACGACCCTCTGTTTCATCATCCTTGGTAGAGGCCCATAGCCCGTACCCTGCTTCCCTATCTTCTTCGTCAGACAACATTTTGGCGGTCACGTTCCATGGGTGAGCTTTGACGATTTTCCTTCCTATCACGTAGCCCAAGCATTCAAAGTAGGCGCACCCGGGTCCGAAGAGTTTTGGATGAGAATCCTGCACGTACAAATGTAGGTGGTATGCTACTTACAAAAATTAACAAAATGTAAGAACAACCTGGAGAAATCTAGTACCACGTAAAAATTCCAGTTGCACCCAAAGTAAAGTGGGCAACCGTCAGTGGTGTTTTGCAACTTACACCGGCTCGCTCGCGAGCCGCAAAAACATATGAGGTCGGGATCGTCATCGTAGCTGAAGGCGTCGCACTCTCGGCCAAGAAGTGGAATCAAGGGGGCGCTGGGAAAGTAAGTAATGGGATACATTGTGAGGGAAAGATGATCCCGTTATGTGAAGGAAAGCTTTTGTGGATAAAAGTGTAAGCGTTTGCGGAAACAACTCAACCCATTTAAAGTGTCCTGGTGAAGGAAACTTCTTGTGATGTATTATTAACATATTATTTTAATATTTGAAAGGATAAATTATATATTCACTTGTTGCCCTAATTAATACACTTTGTAGCGTTGGAGCCATTAATTCCTGAAATGAAAGCATTGGTACTGCCAACCAATTGCGAATGATCACGTTTTACCGTCACAGAGCAACATATCTATCCACATGGGCAAAACAATACACACCCTTTGATTTGAGATGATAGAGGAAACAAGGAGGTAGGAAGTCTCAATGAACATAATCTTGAGATGATAGAGCAACATAGCCTTTCCTTCCTTAGAGTAGAATATAAGTAGCCTCTCCGCCGATAAGACATTACAGAACCCGTCTTTTCATATTCGGCCATCATCACATTTATGAACCTTATAACGTGAATATTATATTCCCCCAGTCCGAATATAATACATAGTTCTCAGAATCAGATTGCAACTACCCTGGTTCTATTTAAACTGAGGTCGTAATTTTTCCACAACATACTTAAAAACCCTGCGATAAATAAAAGCACTATTTTTTGAAATGGCACAATGGGTCGTTGGCGAGAAAACGTTAAACTACAAAGCATTTAATCCTCTATTCCACAACCAAAATTTTGATAAAAATATGCCTAACATGCAGTTAATATAATAATGAAACATGACAAATATGATATTAGGAAAGAATTAATACTATATCAAAGCTACATGTAATAAATACTACTTAAAATTTGGGCTCAAGATAGGGTGCATAACCATGAGTTATGCACCCATCAATAACCAAATCTGGACCTTTCATTTAGAAAATCCAGATCTAAGGATGGAGAATTAAAGACCATTTTTATTTTCTCTAGCTTTTTTAATCGGCTCATATCTTTTTCGTTTTAACTCGAATTTTAATTTTTTTTGCACAAATGGAACGAGTTCATCTTGCTCTACAAAATGAGATCAATTTTTAATATTTTTTAAGAAAAAAAAAATTCTGGCCTCTCTGTACCAACTGCATACCATATGGTATTTTCTTCGTTTTTAATTCGTTTTTGAAAATGTTTGCACAGAAGGGACGAGTTCATCATGATGTATTGGATCTACAAATTTCTGGGTGAACAAATTAGATGACCAAAAAATACCACACAATACCATACAATACCACCCTGGTACGTGGTGGTATATTATGGTATTTTCTTCGTTTTTAATTCGTTTTTGAAAACGTTTGCACAGAAGGGACGAGTTCATCATGATCTATTGGATCTACAAATTTCTGGGTGAACAAATTACAAGACCAAAAAATACCACACAATACCATACAATACCACCCTGGTACGGGGTGGTATATTATGGTACACAATGATAAAAGTCGTAATTGACAGTTAATATACTTCTACTATCATGTATTCAACCATCCTACAGTCTTGGTTTGTTCATACCACCATCGACCGCTTTTCAAACCATAGGTATGTTCTTATTTCAATACCAGTCAATACCATATGGTATAGACTGGTAAAAAATGGCTCAATTTTTTTTTGTTCGAAAAATATATCAAAGTGGATATCATTTTGAAGAGCACAATTAATCTTATCTAACTGTGCAAAAAAATTAAATTTTGACTTAAAACGAGTGAGAAATCGTCCGTCGAAGATTAAGAAGAGGAAAATTAAAGGCTTTCCAGGAGAGAGGAATGCTGATGTCATGTTGATGTGGGCTGGTTACTCATGGTTACTCACCATAAGGTTACTGACCTGATCCGTTCCCTAAAATTTGAAATCTAATACTTACCTTAAGTCAAATTCAATTTTAAACATATATTAAGAAAATATTTAGGCAATCAACAGTAGCATAATTAAAACATATAATTGATCAAGTCCAAAATAGAACTCCCAGTGGAGTAGATAGTACTTAATGAAGGATAAATATCCCCATAACTATCTGGGACATTGCAAAATGACAAAATAAACCAACAATTCAAAATATCCATACCCACTTAATATAAAAAACAACATAGACGATATTCTACTCAGACCTCGCCCTCTTCCTGCTCAAAGTTGATTCACCAGCATCTTCCTTGGACTCTTCAGCGCACGCCACCACAGCAATGTCGCTTCCTCCTCCCTCCACACATTTTAGCAGCGACGCTGCTAAGAGGCTTCCTTGATGCTCCGCAAAGTCTTGACTCTTTGACCCCTCCAACAAATCATTCTTGAACTCGCCCTTCCACTCAAACATGAAAACGAATGAAAACAAACCACGGTCCCTAACGTCAAAGGCCCTGGGAGCTTCTTCATAAACCGAGAAATCCAAATCATGCATGGGTCGATTTCTCACACCATTCTTCCGAAGAAACTCACTTGCATACTCGAAGATCCTCCTACCCACTGGCATTAACTCGAAGATCACGGCATCCTCTTCATGCAGTATGCTTTCGATGAGATAGGTTTGACATTTCCTCACGTTTGCAGTGTACACATACGACATGCCCGATCCTTGCTCATGCACTGGGAACATAAACTGAACGCCCCACGAAAAAATTACAAATGACGAAATATTAATTTCACATTAGTTTTCATAAATGCAATTTGTATATGGGCTGCTTACCAGCGTACAGTCTTTGAAAGAGGCACCAGGGGGTAGAGGAAACATCTCTAGATCGTGCTCGACTTCCCAAATAGAAGCAGGGATAGTTTTCCCATCCGGAACGTGACGAGCAGCGGGGTCACCTTCGCCTTGTCCTGACACATTAAAACGCAAACGTCAGTGGAAACAACCAACCGTTTCAAAAACCCTAAACAATAAAAAGAGAAAATTATATATGTTTAAACACATGTTTCACCCACACAGAGGCTAATCGGAAAGCAGAACTTTGTTAGTTTCCCTTCTTTCTTGACAGTTTCCGCGTTGATAAGGCGTCTGTAGGTATCAAGCACCTCCTTATCGACCCAGTTTCAGGGCTTCATCCTCGATATTCTCTGAACATGCTCGCTGATTTGAGACGGATCCATACTACGACTGTTGGGGTGAAGGAGGGGTTAGGAGGAGCGGTTTTTGATTTATCAAAACAATGGCGGCTCTTATGAAGAAGATGGGTGGATTGTTCTTTGTCAGTTGGGTTTATATAGGAAGTTAGTCCTACCCTAAGGGAGTATGGCGTTTCAATTACCCACCAATTATGTTGATGACAGATGGCTCTGCGCCCAAAGCGTTAAGCATCGATCGATGCGATCCCTCGTCCGTTCGATTCCTAATTTTTAAATTGAATACTTATCCGGTTGTAGTTTCATATTACCGGGAAACCAGATCCTTGAATAATCCAACAAATTTGGATGTAAGTAAAAAGTCGGAAATAAATACGGACGTGGCAATCGTATACAATAGCAGTCTATCGTGGGCCCAAATTTGACGAATGGGCCCATAACATTGAGTTGGTAATTAGTATGTGTATTCAATGTTTTGGGCCTTTACTAATGGACCCATGTTACATGGCAGTGAACATAGGGAGTGGTTTCACAAATGTACCTCGGGGATACCTGCCAATCTTTCAATCTGATATTCAACATACAATGGTTCTAACATTACAAAGTTCCCACATCAATCGATGAAAAAATTGTCTATCCAGGCTGAACTACCATTTCCTTACTCGCTTTCTTTACCCAACAAGGCTTGTTTCTTTTTTGTGCTCGAATTCGGCGGCGGTATTCATGTACCCACTTCATGAACTAGCATGTTAAGTAGAAGTCATTTCATTCTTAGCTGAATTAGAGGACCACAATATTTGATAAGTAGACATATAAAAGTTGTGTCAATAATCACATTAGCAAGACAATAAGATAAACGATTTGTACCATTTCACCGGCCCAGTAACAGCTCAAGTATTCCTTAGATTTAGCTTCACTGTTGATCATTCTGGTAGCCTTCAACCCACATGAGCAAAACATCGGCAACTCATCCAGCGCTCCGTTTGTAGTGTCTTTGGCCATCCTATTGACTCTATCGCAAGAAAATGAATTTTGGAACTGATGCTTGGAAAACGTTATGGTGCGTATCATTTATAATGGATGTGTAGACTCTACTCGGCCCACTCAGCTCGTGACTGTGACTTTGCTGCCATAATATTCCTAACGTAATATTCGTTTGCAGCAGAACGAATATTTTCTGTAGCTGTTTTCTTGTTTGGTCAAATTTTAATAATGCACGAAATGTACTTGTTAAAAAGGATGAAAGACAGTTTATTGGTCCTTGTCAATACCAATCCTTTAGAATATTTTTTTCTCTGTCTATATTTGACCGGTATAGTCTTCGATAATAGAATGGAACTATATAGGCTTGAGGAATATGGTGTACACACGCAACTGAGTATGATATTACCTGTTCAAATATTAATATTTATTAATTATGTAAAAATTGCATTAGTGAACTGTTAACAGTAGTGGATAGAAAATGCTCTTTATTATACAACATTACAGATGATGTTTACGAATACTGGACTAATAAAACTCGGCAATGATAGAATGATTCATAATTACCTATGCCCCACTCCAATCTTTATTGAATCCTTCTTCTGTGTTGTCCTCTTCAGACTCGGACTCGGTCAAGTTGTAATCAGGGTACCCTAACACCCTCCTTCCATCATTATCGTCATTAGCATTATTTTCCAAATCTAGAGGAGTGCTATCCAGATGCTCACTAGCAATGAGTATGAACACTTCTGTATATACCATAAAGAGGTGCGCATAAATCAATGTGTATTTGGAGATCTTGTTTAGCACTAACGCAATGACAACTAAAATACTTACCAATTGGACATCCTCCACCGGGCAGCTATACTTTAAACGGTCACCGCCAGAGTCGACTTGTAACTCCATTAGTGCAAGGAGCCCGCAGTAGCAGTAAACCTTGCATGGCGACGACCCCTCCATCTTACCACCTAAAGTAGCTTCGGAGGGGTGGGGGGGGGGTGTTGTTGATGAATCCATTGGCAAGGCAAGTTTCGGTGGGTGGTGTGTGAGAAAGTGGGGATGGAGTTTACCACGCATGATGGTAGTCATATAAATAGATGCACGGGCCCACGAAAAAAATACATTGGACCTCAAAGAGGTTAACTTTGCATACTGTTTGTCTTTTGGGCCCAAGGGAGATTCGGGATATTCGTCGTGAATATCACATTCTTGACTCATAGAATATGACATTTTATCTGTCCAAGTATTGTATTAGTATATGTAAAATTTAATATTCGTTATTGATAGTACAAATTTAACACAAATAAATTACTCCTCTAAATGCGTAATAGTTTCTATGGTAATACAAGAATTGGGTTAACAAGGGGTTCGTTTGCTGCAAGGATTTGGATGTGGGATTTGGTTCTTAAATCCAACACGTGAAGGATTTGTACAAAAGCCATTGTTTGATCAGCCAAAATGGAGGGTACCTATTTACTTGGTATTTGAAGAAGGGGAACAAATCCTTCATGAAAAATGACTTTTATATCCCTCTATAATTTAATTATTGCAACTTTACCCGTCATTAGTTATCGTTTGCCCTACTACGATTGCCTCTTATAGCCTATAGCTACAAACTTAGGCATGAAAAGTAATATAGTAGCTAATAACATGCTAATGACTAAATAATCTATGCCATTAACTAATAACATAATAATGACTACATAATGTTTTCATCATGGCTATTTCCACAAGCGTATGATTATTGTGATTCGAATTTTGATTTGGATGGTAAGTAATGCCCTATAGTTACAAACTACATTTGTTGTTACAATGGTAATTCTAACAAACAAATTTAGCCAAGAATTGTAAGATTACAACTATATATTGTGATTATCTACACATTTTAATATATTGTGGCTACTAATTTTTCGAGGTTGTTATAAAATGTCAATTTAAAAGCACAAATTAACAATAGGACCAAAATCCTTAGAAGATTATAAACACATAAAAAGTTATATAAATCTAACATGAAGAAGGGTAATAAGGTAATATATACATCTTAAAGGTACAAATCCATAACCCAAAAATCAATGATCAAATCAACTTAGCAAACAATGAACTCTACCAAATCCACAATGCAACAAATCCCATAAAATCAACCTGCTTTTGATTTCTAAACAAATCAATACAATCTTGCTACCATGTATAATTATAACCAGTTGTGCTTACTTTCAAAGGGTTTGCTGAAAAGTGAGAAGGCGCTTCAAATTTTCGCAGGCCAAATAATTTATTAAGGCGGCCAACACAATCCTGTTTGAATTTTGAATTTTTAGGTCGACGGCCACCTCATTTGACAATAGAACTTTTGTGTTAGGAGAGAAAACCAACCAAAAATTCACAAACCCTAAATCGCCACAGACATGAACATCCAATCTTCCGTCGAACAAGCCCAAACGAAAGTGTTTTTGGTATGTTTAACCGGCGGCGACACCTCGGAATAGTTCCAGAAAATCCTCACAAGCTCTTCCTCATGTTTGTACTTCAAAGTTAGGGTTTTGCTGGTAGGAATTAATTGGTCGGACGCAAGGGGGAAATTACATGGACGGGGGCAAGAAGTTTCAGTTCCGGTGTAGAACGCTGGGTTTGCGGAAAATCATTAAGAGGTTCATCGAGAAAGGGGAGGAACTGCAAGATTGCAGGCGAGAAGTGAGAGGATTGGTTTCGGAGGTTTACTGGAGGTTGTAATGACATCGGTTCCCTCTTCTACAGTGAGGAGCCTACTTGAATGCTACAATCCAGAGTCTGAGAAGCTGGAGGTAGGTGACGGGATGCAGATTTGCTTCGCACCATCCGACGTGAATAGGGTATATGGTTTACCTGTGGGAGGATGGTCGGTGGTTAGGAGTAAGTGTTTCGGCGCAAGGCTCAACATTCTGGAGGAAGAGATTGGAGTCAATGCCAACCGTAGAGGGACTATTGATTGCAAAGTCCTGCTAGAGGCATTAATGTGTTGTAGAGTGCCTCGCAGATTTGGTAAACTATTCGCCCTGTACGTTGGAGCGACACTACTTGGTCCTACGAGTACCTACAATATCAACATCAGGAGCTTCGCCGAATGTCTAGCCGAGGATAATGGTAATGTAAGAAGGTGAGACTGGGCAGGTCTTCTGTGTGACCGATTGAAACAGGGGATGTTAAAATATCAACAGGGCAAGACTAAGAACTTTCCCTATGGTGACTATCATTTCTTGCTGGTACGTGTTATAACTTTACTTTTGGAATAATAATTTTCATCCATACCCACAGTCTTACAATCGATTACATTACACTATGATGTAGGTCCACATGTTGGACACAATGAGTAGACGTGAGTTGAATCTGTTCTCCTCTCCCACCTGTGGACTATGGGACGATGAAAGGGTGCATAAATCGCTTTTGTTCATCATCGAGTTAGGCAGGATCCCGGCTGTCATTGCAGTAGAAGCGGGCAATGTGGAGGGATCAACCATGTACATAGCAGTAGATAACGAGTGGGAGGATATGTTTGCAAACACAAGCAAATATGAGGTGTGTTGCCTTCATGCTACTTATAAGTTACGATAATTGTTATATTATCTTCTAGTTCAGAATGTGTCGTAGCCTTTCATTCATGTCTATGTTTGAACAATGATAAGATAAGTAAGTGGTGGGGGTGTGCTGTTTGTGCAGAAGGAGGTTCTCACAAAAACTGCTAAAAAACAAGTGGAACGATGAACTAAATGCCATATCTACTCATCCTCACAAATGGATGGGGAGGTGATTAGAGCAGGGGTTATTAAAACGACTGCAGCCTTGGTACATGGAGGCTTTGAGGACTCAGACACGCCCTTGATTCATATGTACGAGCTCTTCAAGTTGAATGAGGTACATGTGGATGCTGGGGTAAGAATGGAGGAAGTAGAAGAAAATGAAAGGGGAACAAATATATCTCCTCAGATAGATGAGGAGGACATACTTAGCTACGCTCGGCAGGACAATGATATCGATGTAGTAAATGTTGAAGGGGGAGGAGAAGATCACTTTAATTCACATGGCCCGTATGTGTCTGCCCAAGTCCACCATCTAGTGGAAGTAGAGGATGTAGCAGAAACTGTAAAGGGACCGAATAGATCGATTTAGTTATATCAAGAGGACAGACTTAGCTATGTTGGGCGGGACAATGATGGCGAAAGTGTAAGTGATAGAGGGAGACGTGAAGGCCATTTACATTCATATGAACCGATTGGCTATGCGGAAGACGACCATCCAATGGAACTAGAGGAAGTAGCTATGAATGTGGCCAGATGGGTCAGTGCTGGAGATTTCGCTGAAGAAGGTGATGAAGACGCTGATATGGGATGTCTATCTACTACAACCATTGCCGAAACAGAACAAGACGAAGGTCAGGGAAGCTCTGCATTTCAGGTGATATACAAAAGACAGCGCAAGACAATAAAATGGACAACTGAACAATACCATGTGGGTAGGATGGCCAAAGAGAAGATAGCGGCGGAGTGCATGACGGTGGTTAAGTTTGCCATGGCCGAAGGAGATGATGACTCGTGAGTTTTTGTTAATGTTGCAATCGTGCTTATTACTTTACCAATCCAATGAGACAATTACTAACGAGTTGGTACAGGGACGTTGTATTACACCAGTCCGACATGTATACCGTTCCTAAGTCGGAATCGCAGTCATTGCGACCAGATGTCCACGTCGGAAGAAACTTTGTGGACGCGTTTGCACATTATCTCAACTTGGTCACCATGAGTAAGGATAATAAGTTAACGCGATACTGCTTTGACACACTCGTTGCAGTAAGTATAATAAACAACCTTGAAACTAAATGGTTTGCTAGTCCACTACTTAGCAATGATGGTGATATTAAATACTCTGAATGCCCATCCCATTGCGGTTTTTCCAAATTCTCACGACAAATATCATTGTTTGTGATGCAGTTCTTCTTCCCTGTCCAACTGGACAAGCATTACATATGTTTGGTCATTGACGTGAAGAAGCGGTTCTATGTTTGCCTCGAAAGCCTTGCCGGCCATCTGTCATTCGATAATGAAGTGCTATCAGTCGCTATTTGAACAGTCAAGGCAGGTAGGACATTCATCAAGGATATGGACCCTATAATGTCTTTCACCAGTTTCGATTGGGAGGTAGCTGATGCTCCCAAACATGAAGATGTTGCCAACACAGGTCTATTCTGCTGCTTGTTCATGGAACATTACAATGTATACTTCACGGAACAACAAAGATTGTCATGGGCGGACAAAGCTGCAGGTTCGCTAAACCGGGAAAACATTGCTGCTCGTATATTGATGCACGAAAACAACACCAAACTAGATTGGTTGAAGACCACGTCGCAGCAGTGGATGGACAACATGGATCAAAAATTGAAACCCAAGTGTGGAAAGAAGAGGTCGTTGAAGGAAATTGAAGCCAAATTAAAAGGATGAAGGGAGCATTTCATTTTTTGCTCATATTTGGAACAGTGTGTTGGAAAGAATGTTATGGTTTGGTCAAGGGAAGTCTAGAGAGTGAAATCCATTTGAAGAGGGTAAACTTATACGTATTGCTATAACATTGAAAGGGTTAAAATTAAGGGCGATGAACAACATAAGGTAATTCAATATTACATCACGAAACTGATTAGAAGGTTATACAAAGAGGTTGTCCATCAAATAGACAAATATTTGGTAGATTTAGAATAAGATTAAGAACGGAAAATTACATAAGACACTACTTCTTGTGAGCACTAGTCAGAACAAGATACAAAAACTAACTATAACTAGTTAATGGTTAAGCGACTGATCATGGTGGCTACGGCAGACGATTCTCCTCGTACTACATCAACATCGACAGTTACGAAACAATCATGAGTCCCAGTATTCGATTGTTGCTGTGAATGACCATTGTCACCTTGAGTTTGGAGTTCATTAACAAGGCGATGGTTGTCCTCCTCCAGAATAGCAACTCGTTGCACCAGCTTGACGATTCTTTGCTTATAAAGCTCGATGTCTTGAAGGATGCGGAGGTCACACCATTCGAAGTAATCGCACCACTTTCCAAACTAGAATGAGTGTTTACATGCCACAAGACAAATAACAGATAAATGCTTACGTATGGAGTAATATTAGTGATAAGTCAATACAAAAAGTAATCAACGGTAAAAAAACTAAACAAATAAACACAATTATGCTCTACACTTAATTAACATACTGGGGATTTGTAATTGGGGCACGACCAAAATAGTCGATTCGGATTCCTGTGGGTTTTGGACGTTCGCACAACAGCTTCAACATGGCATTTACTCAACACGTTTACAGTAAACGGACCTGCTTGCATCACCTGCATTGCCTCGTCGGCCGGATGTATAGGGATGATAAGAGATCGGCCGAAAAAAAACCTGCTCGCGAAGAGCAGCGCGGGAAATTGCAATTGCAATTGAGGGTGAGAAAACAGATTTGTCGGCGTAGGGTTCTTGTGTGGCTACTTGATTAGAGTGTCTAATAAAAACGGACCAGTAAGGCCATACAAAAAAGACCTCACCAACTATAACCAGAATGTTAGTTTCGTTATAAGTTAATATAACTACATATTACCACAATAACTGTAGGCGTATGTAAGGGATTTTTTATTAAGATCATATTATATCCATAATATATCCGTATATAGTAGGCCAGAGATGATAAATAAGCCTCAACACTTTAAAAAGATTAAATTATCACTATTATTATTTTTAAAATAACTATCAAGTAGTGTTAAAAATTTACTATCAAAAGCATCAAATGCTTGCAATTGCTACAAGATATTGTTAGGTTCGTAATTACCAGCTGCATTTGCAGAAACAAATAACTACATCCCAGATAATTATATAATTAAGAAAGTATTATCTAAATATTATATTTTTCATTAAGAACGTAACAAACCGAGAACCATATACACTACCTGTGTGAACCAGCACGCAATTGAAACTTGATATGACAACTTTGCCAAATCATTCTGCAATTGCTGCCTACAAAAATAACTCTATGCCCAAATAACACTCTAGAAGAAAAATAAACTATCAATAACCATGATAGCTAAACTCAACTTTACACAACCAAGGAAGGCTGAGACGATGAAGCATACTGGCTTTCTTGACTCATTACACTGGAGTTGCCGATTCCTAAATCAAATGAAAGCTGGATTAAGATCCTCCTCCTGTTGGCCACAACAACCCTAGCATATCTTCTCTTCATAGAATCAGTTGGCATACACGTTTGTGTCATGAACCGTTTCTTCTGCGCTTTCACAGTGTTCACTCTATGCTTGAGGCTTAAAGAAATGCGCGGAATAATGGGGCGGGTAGTATGACGCCTAGTGACTTCACAGCATATTAGAAAATTATGTCTAAACATGTCTTGATGGTATAAATAGCGCCAATAAACACATGTTATATTTCACATCAATCACAATTACATATCAATAGTTTGTAAACAGATATTATTAAACATGGACTAAATAAACTTACCGGGTCCCTCCATAACTACATTTCAATGTGCGCGACGTTTTGACCACGTAGCTTGCAGGCTAGCAAGAAACTTATTTACTAGCTCAAAACATCTATCGTAAACTTCGTCGTCCAAGCCATCTGCTAAAACAACAAAGTCATGTAACTTGCCAGAAATTTCCCTGTATCTTTCTGACTGGTTACCTGTAGGTGACAACTCCTCACCACTCAACGAACCCGCACGCAGAGCTCGAACGACATTTTCCTTCACATCCTTCCTCCATCTGGGAAGATGAAAGTGGTCTGGTAGGGTTCTCATGCTTTCATAACCAGCGGATGACAAAAAGTCCATAACCTTCAGGATATGAACACAAGGATAGCCAACACAGTTGTAAAGGCGACATTCGCATTCAAGCTTTGTGGTAGGAAAATGAACGCGGACGATGCGTTCGTCTACACGCTCCCCTACCTTTAGCTTAAACACTAAGAAATTGCTAATGTCAAGGGCCAAATCTACCACGCCTTTGCGAATCTTATACTCATGGACCTTCACGTGCTCCTTCTGCAGACATGTGAACACATTGGGCGCCAAGGTGTTCGCCGCCTCTATTGCAAGGGGACTGCGTGAGAGTGACACGTATCTTCTTCTGTTGATGGCATTGTAGTCAGACAAACGCTCAATTTCCCTCTTCTCCTTCAACATGCTGCAGCAAGATTGCTTGCATCATTACTTTGAAAATTACAAACAAAACACACTACTACGATAAATCTATAAATAACTTAAATCTTACCAGTTAAACTGGTTGAAAAAGTGGAAAAAAAAATTCCCCGTAAGAATGACTTCACCGACACATTGCACGACTCACTTGCCTGAGCAGTTGTCATCACAGCAGTGAAATGCTGCTTCATCCAAGCAGAACACCACTTTTCTCGGATTTTCTTAAATTTAGCAAGCCAATGACTCTCATTCTCTACGTCAACCCCGACAAAGCATTCTTCGATTATGCCATTCCATGCAATGTCAAACTCCTTGGGGGTGTCAACATGGTAAAACAAGTATGTGATATGTCGTTTAAATTCATCTGAACGTTCAACACTCCCTAAACGGTCCTCAACATTGGTTCGGAGGTGCCAAGTACACAATGCATGATAAGTACTGGAGAATTTTGATTTCACAGTGGCAGAAATTGCATAACACTGATCAGTGAACAAAGTGGCAGGTTCTTTTGCATTCATGCAATGCAGGAACATTGTAAACAACCATTCGAAAGAAGGGATGGTCTCATCGTACAACAAACAAGCACCAAATACGGTGACTTACCTATAGTGGTTGAACGCAACGAAGAGACCTGCAAGATTATAAGAGATACATTCTAAGTTTTATATATATATATATATATTTAATTACAAGATACAATAAAATAGGTCATAAAAATAATATACATAGAGGACGATGCTCTTTGTTTGTTCAGAACGTAGTATCAAACGAGACTGAATCATCAAAGAGTTCATAATCTAGCCTCATCGTCCGATCGGCCCAGAAAATGCCAGCAATTTGTTCGCAAGTATCTACCTCAACCTCTTAGTAAAACCGTGGATCATTTCTCTGTTCTCTTCTAAAATGTTCAAGGAGAGGGATGGGATTAAGTGCTAACCCTTATAGGGGTTAGCACTGTGATAACTAGTAAAAAACACTACGGATTATTATAAAATCAATACAACATCTAAGATAAATCACTACTAATTCAAATTAGTAGTAGTTTTTCCCTTGGTTAGGACGGTGCTAACTATTGTACAATTAGCACCGTAGCCGTTCCCTCAAGGAGATAGGTGCCTTTGCCATGCTCCAATCTTTTTTGTCTTCGTTTGCCAAGCTGATTCTTGTTGTCTTCTCTAATGAATCCTACATTAGAGTGCCCACCAGCATATCGAACAAGGAGCTTATACGAAGATTTCAGCTTCACGCCAGAATCTTCGTTGTCTTCAATCAAACGACCTTGTACGTGAGATACTTTTCGGTTGCTAATTAGTGGATGCCTGTGTTCTATGCTGTGCAGTGGATGGTTATGATCACCATTAAATTCTATAATGGTGAATGCTTGCCTGTTAACGTCCCACCTGAATTTCACATATGCTAAGCAACCAGTCCTGAGTTCAAAACGATTTCTTTCACTAACTGACATTGCCTTCTTAGGAGCCTCTAGAAGTCTTTCTAACGCTTTAGGGCTGGATTTGGTCCGTCTGCCCCATCCAGCCTTGCTGCAGCAGAAATGAAGCAGGTACATTAACTTAAATTCTTCACCATTTTCATTTTTCACAATCTTCCATCTATGCCTTTGAATACGAACACTATATCCCTTGCAGTGCGCATATTTCTTGTACAGGCAAAGACACTCTGCAGAGTTGCGGGGCTGAATATGTAAACGTTCGTCGCCTTTTTTGAACAATGATGCCCATCTGCCTTAAACATAAGATAATTTCACAAAAAAATAAGACAGATATTGTACTTACTCAAACACTCTGTCATGATTCTACTACTCAGACCCATCCAAATGCAATAAAGTAACTCTTTATGTCATCAACCACCAAAACAAACATATGGACAATCACCATTCAATGTTGAAATAAATAAAATAGACAAACTTTAAGGATACCATAACTATAGAAGTAGGTAAGTTTACTTAACCAACTGCTCCTGCTCTGAAAGATCCAAAATCTCGGGATCAAGGAAGAATTCGTCAACATCTGACTCACCATTAAAACCGAAGTGAAAAAAATAACTTAAAACATTATCACCACGATTGCTTCGTGATAAAGGGAAAAAGACGATAAGGAAACAAACCCACCAGATCATCTACATCAACTTCGCCGTCTGTTAGAGGAGGAAAGTTAAGATCCAATCCTGGAGATCCCATCTTCACTAGAGAAAAAAAAAACGATGCTAGAATTACTCTGTAAAAACCCCTAATCTGGAGACAGATATGATTAAACTTTAAAAATTAGGTTCACAGATCAATAGTATAGAAACATAATACCATATTAATTTCTGGGGCGGGAACGAAAATGAAAGAAAGAGCGCCAAATTTTCTCTTCGATGGGCGAGAGTTGCTGGGCGGGACTGGAGAAAGGAATAAAATTATTTGGGGGAACACGCGCTGGAACCCGATCTTCGGCTTCGCTGATAAATCAACACTTTGCTTTTCAGATTCCTCGTTCAAAACAACTACTTTCGTCAGAATTAGGGGCCCAAAGTCCACTAACTAAAGCTATCAATGGATCCAAAACGTTCGTTGCGTGTGCGTGCAATCTGGACAGTTGGCTGATCCGTTCTCCAACAACCAAGTGGTGGACGATATCTAAATTCAGAGCCAATAGACTCCATCTCGCCAATCGAGGCTGGGAAGTTTTCTCGCCGTCATAAGAATTCACCATACCTTCTGTTATAAATGAATTTCATAAGTTTCGGGCAATTCATTTTGAAATGAAATCCTTTTGGACTTTGCTACGTTGACATGCACTTTTAGGTCGACCTCATATAGGACTACGTCGACCTAATCTTCACTTTTTGGTCGACCTTATATAAGATTAGGTCGACCTAATATGTCGTTTCAGTTTTGTGAGGTTCAACGACACGGTTGACCTTTTATAGCAAATGGTAGACCTCTTTGGGAAGCGAACAGAATGAAAGGTCAACCCAAATACCTCATAGGCCGACCATTTTGATTAAGTGAGGTCAGGTTGATCGCATAAGTATGAGGTCGAGTGATAACGATGTATTTGCACGTGTTTGCGCCCTTATTTCTTATCCGTTTGTGACTCCTAGTCGTGCATATTTAGACTATTTTACGCTGGGTTGTGCTATTTTTTCACATTTCAGGTCCCAAGTGTTGAAGGAAAGGCTAGGCGAAGTTTCAAGTCAATCGGATATCAATTGGCGATTCGGGAGAAGAAACTCGGGCATGACCTGAAGAAGAATGGATTTCTATCTCATTTATGGACAAATAATCATGCAAGCTTCTCATGAAAATAAAGAGGACGAGACTACGAGCGTCTGGTATCAAACGGAGACTGATTCGGAGTCCGTACAAGGGAGAAATGAAGCATTGAATATAGGGGAACAGGTTCGGCAACAAAAACACGGGCAGACTACCCTAAACATACGGTCGTGTTTTATCTGGCCCCCGCTAGTGTTTTTACTGGCGAGGGCGTGTCGTGAGGGCTGCTGGGGGCAAAACACGGGCGGGCAAAAGTAAAACACGCCCGTGTCCTCGATCGTGTTTTGCCCAGAATCGGGTTTTTGAGGCAGATTCAAGCCAAAGGAAAGGGAATCGAGTTTTTGAGAAAAAAAATAGGAGTTATTTGGAGTGGATTTCTCACCATTGAAGCCCAGATTGCATCCCCGGGAGTGAAGATCAACATCCCAGAGCAGATTATCCCCATCTTTATGAGTATGACTGCTCTGATTTCTGTTTTCCTCTCTCTCTCTCTATGGAGTAGAACCCTCTCTCACTTGGGTATGAAGAACCCTAGTCCCATGTATTAGTAATCTTGATTGTAATGACTTTGGATTGATATACTGATTGATTTTAATCGATTGATGCATGATTCATTGAGTCAATTGAAGCCTGGTCATCTTTTCTTGATTTCTGCTGCAACTTGAGATAGATAGAATCTGATTAGGTTGTTAGTGCTTCATCAATTGGTAGTAGTAGATTGGTTATACGAGAGTTAATCGATTTACTGCTTTGTACTGGAATCCAATTCTAGTAGTGGAGTTCTGTGTTTATTGCCTCAGCAGTCTATCCCAATGAAGGCTAGTCGCCTGCCGGTTAGCCTGTCGGAGAGGGCTTGGTCAGCTTAAGAGATTCCAAGCTACTGTAGGATCTTCCGCAGTTTAATCTACAGTAAATCAACCAAAGGAAATTACAACTTGCCACTATTCTGCATTTCTGGATTGCGATTACACTTGGTCGCAGTTTGGTGTTGTGTTTTAGCGTGTCATCGACCGCGTGCACACCGTATTCGTATTGGATAAGGATCCCAACACTAGAAAGATAACCCTAACTTAACAACCACTTAATTCGACCCATTCTCATCCTAAATATCTATAAATACGAATATATGTCACATTCACCGCCACCGAAACTCTGAATTAGGTTTTTTTTTTTGCGGTTGCTGTTGTACGTGATTCAAGAGGTCGGCCACGTGGAAGTTATGAGTCCTTGTTATCATTATTTATGACTGATTCTGTTGGTTTGAAAGTAATTTGTACGAGCAAAAGAACCACCCACATCGACATACATAAGCAAAAAAGACACAGGGCATAGGTTGATTTTCTTGTATTCGGTCGACCTCGTACCTGATTAGGTCGATCACGAAACCAACACTTGATCTTCATTTTACGTCAAATAATGATGGATAAATGGATACAACACTTCTCTTCTATCTGGTCGACCTCTTTTTGTAAATGGTCGACCATTTTGTTAATAACCGCCATCAAGTGATCGACCTATATACCTTTACGGTCGACCATTTTGCTTCTGACGCCAATGAAAAGGGCGACCGATGTTTTACTGTGGTCGACCAACAATGACAACTTAAACTACAAACGGTCGACCACTACATTTTAAAGGTCGACCGTGATAAGTCATCAGGGTGCCCATAGTAGTGTATTCGGGAAACTCACAAAACTGAAACGACATA